ATAATAATCATTTGAAAATTTTTCTCAAATGATTATTATAAGACAATTTTTCTCAAATGATTATTATTAGAAAATGTTTATTTTTAAGCAGATATTAATGCTTCACAAATTCGTATTACAAGAAGAAATGATTGGAATAATAACTAACTAAGAATTAAATTTAATATGCTGAAAGCGACAGAACAAAAGTATTTTCAATGATTCATGTTGCTTACTTTTAATTTTTTGACTTTTTTTCACACGAATTACGCAAACGATAACGTTCAAAGAAATATATTTTTTTTTTTCTAAAATAATCAAAAAGCCTAAATGTAAACTTAATAATAGGCACTTTGTAAAAAGTGTCAGCTGTCCTAAGGTTTGTCTTTGAAGAGATCAGTTTCTTTATTCTTATATGTTTGTAAATTGTGCACTTTTTGCTTTAAAAATGATTGAGTTATGTTGTTCTTATCTTCCGGTTAAGGTTTTTATGCCTTTAGTAAATCTGTATGCAATATTTTTGGAATTATCAACAATTTAAAAGTCGTTTAAGTGCCGCTAAGCCTAATAATTTTTGCCATGTCGGCCATTGCTTGCTTACATTTGAAACAACAGAATAGTAGATTTGTTGCCAATCTAGAGAAAGTAAGCCTCGCAATAACAAAGATACCGCCTTCTTTTATTATTGCAAATTAAATCATACGTAATTAATTCTGCAATATATTCGAGGAAATAAGTGTTTAAGATTTACTTCATAATTTTCAATACGGGCATCTTGAGTTTTAATGTATTTGCGCCTTGTCGTGAAGTGAGAACTGAATTAATTGAATCAGAAATACTGAATTGTCTGTGAAAAAAAAACCTTTTTTTTTTTTTTTTTTTTTTTTTGTTATTGTTGTTCTTTGCTTAATTTCTTTTATACATCGTTATAGATTTATTATAGTATTTGAATAGAACATGTGGTACCGATTAGATAATTCTTAAGATGATATAAATTTTATGCATTCTGAGTTAAAAAATGAATGAATGTAACGCTGTTAAGTGAACCTAGGGCCTAGAATTAAGTGAACCTAGGGCTGTTAAGTGAACCTAGAGTGTCGCTATGGTAAATAAATATAGTGAATTTTAAAGAGTGCATTTATTCAATTGTGGTTTATGCGCTATCGACGAAGTAGATTTAATTCAATCAAATAAGTTTAAATGAAATGCAAGAAAAATGGGTATAATTTAATATTCCGTACAAGTAAGTCATGTGGTGTACACATCAGATTTGTTTTTTTCTGATGAATATCCTTAATTGTTTCCACGCGTACGTTTTAAGTAGACGTAATTATTTTAATTGTTTGCACGTAGACGTATTTATTTAAAAGTGACAATAAAAATATTCTTTAACGTATTTAACAAACATTCTCAATTCGTATAAAGGAAATTTAAAGTTAATTAAAATTAAATTTTAAATTATGAAATTTTAATTGCATACAAATAAATGATTAATTATTGATGCGAACTAATTTACAATATCCTTTAAATTCTGAGAGCAGATGTAAATTAAGTGCAAGTATAAAAAACCATGAACATGATCTGGCCAGTTAGAATGTTAATGTCACAAAATTTCCTGAGTTTAATTGCAAAATGTTTGCTATAAACGCTGCAACTAATGATTAAATTCTAGAGTTCAACGGAATCAAGTCGGTATTTCTGTTAACTGTTAACCGGTTAAAACTGCGTAGAGAATTATTTTATCTGCTCTGCCCTGCAGCATCTTTCTTATACGTGTATTTATGAAACATGTTTGCATAAATGTAGAGGTTTGAATGTTGTCTATCGTACATTATTATTAAAATGGCAGATTTGAGATTTTAATATCCATTGCCTGGAATGCATTCACTCAAAATGAGATAAGTAAGTAACATGGTATCCTCTGTTAGTAATTTCTGAACATGTGTGTGTGTGTGTGATTATGGCAAAGGCTCGAGGGCTATTTGCCTAAGGGGAGGGATGCCTTCGTGGAGGACTTTCTAAGGGAAACTGGCTCGTATACACGTTACACATGGGGAAAACCACGAAAACGCCCATGCAGCCAAATTTCTGAACAGGAAAATTATAGTTCATCGAGGCGAAATTTAAAAAAAATATATTATGTTACTTTACGGTTGTAGACACATTAGGCTATTTTTTTAAAGCAGGAGAGATGAAAAATGAGCAACTCCTTCGCCGGGAATCTAACCACAGACCTCTGGAATACGCGCTCGGCGTGCTGACCACTACACTAAGAAGGCGGGAGAAATATCTTATATACCCCCCTTTTAAAGGGCGACTGGGGATTGGGGAACCCAATCGCCAAATCCTGGGGTTGGAGAATCATCATCCACCACCCTCTTAGTTCGGGCGCCACTGTAGAATTATTAGGATTTTTTGGAGAAGGCGGGAGAAATACCTTATACGGTCAGCTGTAGCTTCAGAGAAGTGGTAGAAACTGATTCTTAGAAAGCATCGTAGTGGTAAAGTTAAACGAATTCCTAATGATGCTTTGAATATACCGGGAAGTGCTGTCGAACCTAATAACCGCTAAGATACAGTGCGTGCTCTGGGTGTCAAATCGAAATCCGTAACATCTTTTCTTTCCACGTTTCTGACTGCTTCCAACCTGACACCTGATAATATCTGAATTGTTAGAGGACGTCGTAATTGGGTCACAGTAAAAGTGACCCAGAGTCTGGCGGAATGCTTTCACCCACATTTGTCTTACCAGACGGATCAGGCGAGCTGCTTTATCAGATTTTCATTTGTTGATCCGGTGCAGCTTGCTTCTGTGCAAACACGTTTAAGTTAGCTTTCGATTTCTTTAAAAATGACGTTCGGCTTTTTGATATTACGTAAAAGTTATAATGATATGTTATTGTCCGAAATTCACAGCAAATATAAATGTTACAGTTATAAAAATATTTTCTGAGCAAGAGTAATTGATAAAACTTAATTCCAACAGAGCGGTTTAAGTTTAGTTTCCTTAAGAAGATTATTAGGTTAAGATTAAGTTTGCTTTATTCGTAGCATATATTTTCAACTCGAAAATTTAAAATTTAAAAGAAGATTTCTTCCTAAAAATCACTTTGTTTTGTTTAAGGTTTTAAAATAGTAATTAGAACAATTATTTTTGTGTCACTTAATAACAATATTAAAATTTTTAGCCCAAAGCAGCGCTAATCCAGGAGGGCTCTTAGTCTCAAAACGGTATTTTGTGGCGTTTCATTGTAAACGGCAAATCAGTTTTAATATTGTTGCCACCAAATATTAGAGCCCCGTATTATATTTAAAGAAATTAAATAATGAAGAATCTGCATGAATGTATGTATGTTTGTCGCATTATGAAAAAAAAAACGGCGGTACCTAGAGCCATCAAATTTTGAATAACACTACCCAAACATGGTAACCTGGACGCCCGAATTTTGAATTTTTTTTTTTTTTTTTGGGGGGGGGGGGAACATTTTTATCTCCAGCGCGTGCAAGACTGTCTATCGGAAATTCTAAAGGATGAAGGATTTATCAGAGATTCTAAATGCTGTTTTTAAATATTTTATTCTGTACTTCAAATTTTGTAAAACTTTAATGAACGTTTGATTAACAAACTCAACGATTTCGAAACGAAAAGTGGCAACACTGTGCGGAAAAAAACACTTTTATCTCCAGCGCGCGAAACTGCTTATCTGAAATTCTAAAGGACAGCTGTTTTTTTCAGTCCAAAGGAACATTAGCCCAAATGCTTTCTGAACGCTTACGTGTATGCAAATGTAAAAAACGCAAAATGTAATATAAAATCCGAAAATTTTCAGAATTTTTCCCCCTCTTAATACGTCCCTTTTTTAATTCTTTTGAAATGTCGAGTAATTTGTACAAATAAGTTGGGATAATTACAATTTCATACTTACATGAATGTAAGTATGAAAAAATACATACATTATTCATTAATTTACAATCAAAGATTAATATTTACTTAATGACTAATTAAGTATTTCTTTTTGCTGAAATTGGTTATTAGCACCCTGAAGTATGTACAAGAATTTGCCATAATTCTTGAGCGTTTTAAAGAATTACACGCATCTGAGAATTTAATCGAATTTCCATCTTTATTTATATAATAGATCTAAATTTAATACTTTAAGAAGAAAACTATGTAGAGTGGGAAGCTTTTCCAGGCGAATATTATTGCGCATGCATAATTTTAATTTTTCATTTATGAGTATTTCTATTTTACTTATTTCTAGCATTGTAAATAAAGTTTTCGCTTAATCGTAAATGAAATGAACTTTAAATCACTCATATCCATTTACACGAAATTTTTACAAGGATGTTTAATTATTTTTAAAGCTTTGTTTTGAATTGATCTCTGCTAGAAAAATGTTTCCTCTTCCCTTTTTCATCTCGATGGTCAAAGATCAATGATTCTTTTCCCATTATCTGGTTTAAAAATAGTCTGGGTATGTAAATACGCTTTAATACTGATCATTTAAGTTAAGTTCAAATCGAGGTGAAAGGGCTGGCTGCGTGTGTTTGTTCCTACCTGTAACACAAATATTATATGTTTAGAGCATTCAACAATATATGTTTAAAACATTCGTCTGCAAAAACAAAATCTTTCCTTTGGAAGAGAAACCAAGTATGCTTTTCAGAATTAAAAAAAAAAAAAATACTTTCAACTTTAACTTCCGACACGCAGATCATTTCATGTCTGAGTTATGATTTTATGGAAACCACTTGTTCTCATTTTCAACACCAGAAGTTAAATACAGGTGTGGTTTTTAAATTAGCGTTTCTCTCTTTAAATAACATATTTCAAAGTTATGAAACAAGGTTCTACAAATTCTATAGTTTTTAAATTGGAATCCTACAATTTTCTATGTATTTAATAAAAGTCAAATAAATTTCCTAAAATATTTACTAATATGTTTATATTTATTTACATTTATTTCTTTATTTTTTAAATTTACTATTATAATAAGTTCTTATTTGATATCTTGTTCCAGCCTCACTCTCGCATGCTTAGTATTGGTTTTGGCGATGTGGGCATGTGCAGCTTCCAACACATACAAATGGGGACCCGATTTGACATCGGAGTTGCCTCCACATTTGCTACAGGAGGCGCTTTTTCCAAAACAAACTAAACATTTCGAATTCAAGGTGAGTTAACTTTCTGTAACAACATATTATTTACATGACAAGAAATTTGAAATTATATTTTATTCTCTTCTTCATTTTCTGTACAAATTTTATTTCAGAATACATTCAATTTATGTTACATCGTGTAAAATCTTGTGTTTCTATTTGGCTGTGTTCAAACAATAATATCTCTCTAGTTAGCGAAATTTATTGAGTTTGATCAAAAATATTTTTGCTGTTACATAAAACGTTATTTAACCCTTATTTAGTCATGTGACGCCTTGAACAGGCGTCTGATATCAATAATAGAATTCTTTTGTACTCCGAATGCCAGTATTTCATATCCAAAAACCACTCTGGGACATTTTAAAAGAAATCACGTTGCAAATTATTATATAAAGAACTTTAACTCCCAAAACGATTATCATAACGTAAATTTTTTGAAATAATTTTATAGCGTTACATTATTCTGCATTTAAAAAAATGTTACAAAAATTAATTTTGCTGAAACTATTGTTTATCCATATATTCTGAAACGTTTTATTCTCATATCTTCTACCGATGCTGTTTCATTATAATAGTGCTAAACTGTATTTTTGTGCGCTACATAATCAATAGTATTTCGTATTATCCTCAAATTATCCTCTCCCTCGAGCAGTCTTATTTTATGTATACGCTGCTGGCCATTAAAATGGCTACACCATGAGTGCGGCATGGAACAAACGTCAAATTTGCATGAAAGGTACTACATGCAGCGATTAACGTTCCAGCGCTGCGCACAAAACACGTTTGAGTAATGCCAACTATATTGTACATAAATGGGAGGACTGGGCAGTGGATTTCTAGTGGGGAAAAAAAAAAAAAGCTTTCGCGTAATAGCTTCAGCTATAAGTGTAAAGTTGAAGTTGGATTTCTCATTTGGAAATCGCATTTGAATATTGAATGTTTGTGCAAAGGTCGTGTAATGCCTCGTGTAAGAAGGAACAACTTCCACCAATTCGTATTGAAATCGTTACCTATCGGGACTGTAGCTCATCATTTCGCTGCATTGCTGCTCGTGTTGGTTGGGATCAAATTATTGCCAGTTGAATATGAAATCCTGCATGGCATTCAGGAAGGCCAGACTGATTTCCATGCAGGATTTCAGCTGAGTCAGGAACTTGGATCGTGTGCAGACGACAACTGTCCGCACGAACAATGCAACAGCACCACAGACTGTAAGCATGGCGGCCATTGTTTCCTTGAAAGCTGCAAGAAAAACATGTGCGTTTACAGTGATGCGACGAATGACGACACTGGATGTAGTCTTTTCAGATGAATCATGGTTCTGCCTACAGCATCATGGATGAACGTATCCATATGTGAAAGCACAGAGAAGAGCATTACCTGCTTGCTTTCGTCATCGTCATATGGGCACAACATCTGGCATGTTAGAACCAAACGCCATTGTCCCGATAATGAGTTAGGCATGAAGTCAACGAGGTTTCCAAGAAAGGGGGTAGCGTATTCTATGCCATTTCTGTGGGATTTTCAGATGCTGAACTGTTTGAGATGACAGATGATCAGTATTTTTCCTCCCTAGAATGTACTAAATATATTTGATAGGGTTATAAGGTATTTCTCCGGCCTTCTTAACATGCCTTCGGGGTGAGGTGGTCTGCACGTTAGGCGCGTATTCCAGAGGTCCACGGTTCGATTCCCGGCGAAGGCGTTTCACATTTTTCATCTTGCCTGCTTCCAAAAACACCTAATGTCTCTACAGGCTCTATGTCTGGAATATATGCTTAACAATGTATTTGGAGAATTCTTTGTTAAAAAGGAAATAATCCGCAAGCAAAGCACAATGTGGCTTGGTATTATCATCCCCAACTGCTACAGGTGACAGCAGGGCTGGACGCCCGGACGGCTTTCTAAGACTACTTGGGTGTTGTCCAAACCCTGCAACTATCTTTTACTATTATGCTGTAATACACATATCACATTGTATAGAGTAGCTACACTAATTATGCACGGTGACTTGTATAGGAGTTAATATCTGCATTGTTACAAATGGAAGTAGTACTATGTCTTAACGTGAGAAAGAGCTTTCATGTATACAGGCTGTGGCTAAAAGACTTTGTGGGTATCACTAGTGCACAAGAATGTCAGCAGATTCCAAGACTATCATACTACTATTATTCTGGCAAAGGTGATGCCCCAGCGCCTCTAGTTTCGTCATGATACTATGCAATATTTTAAGCAATGAGGGCTGCTTAATCAAAAAGCGTTTGAAAGCGGCTACCTCCGTTGTAGGCAACTTCATGTGCCAGTCCTTAGTCAGGGGGCACTTGGTGAGGTAGTGGTCTGGAAGTCCTGTGTCGCCACATATGCAGATATCTGTTCTGCTTGTACCTCTTTCCGCAAAGTAAGAAGGGAAAGGGCCATGTCCGGTAATGAATCTCGTAAGAAAAAGGGTTGAAATAAGTCGATCTGTGCTTACTTTATGAACAAATTCGTAGGTCCTTCGGCTTTTCTGTGTCGTTGAACAGTCCTCTTTGCCACATCCTTAGTACTGTTGCTGTCGTTGTTTTTTTTAGATGGGATTTAGGAAGCGGGATTGCAATTTGGGTTGCGTTGATACTTTGTGCCGCCTCCTTAGCCAAGGCCTCCGCTCGCTCATTGCCCTGGGTACCAGCATGAGCGTTTACCCAAAAAATGCGTATACTTGTTGTATTTGCACTCCTTAATAAATTCTGCACATCCGTAATTAGTGGTGCTGAATGTGTTGGATTTTTTATGGCTTGAATTGCCGATAAGCTTTCGGAGAAAATGGTAACATGTCTGTTCTTTTTGTGAACTAACCATGCGATTGCTTCTTGTATTGCCATATCTTCGGTCTGGAAAAAGGAGTTTCCAGGGCTAAGACGGCCTTTCCATGTGTCTATGACTGAACCTTTTTCGTAGGCTACAAAGGAGCTCCCAACTTCCTCTTCTATCTTCGAACCATCTTTAAAGATTGCGGGAAAATCACCTTCAACACTTAGGGTGAAAACCGGATTATAGAAAACTACTCCCAGGCCATACTGGGATGGGTGAATGGCTAGCCTTGAGCTTTCGGTTTCATAGTTTAGAAGATCATAGGCTACATCTCCATGTGTGATGCTTGCCCTAAGCTGTGAAACTGTTGAGACAACTGCTTCCTGGACTGCCCTTAGTGGAAGTGGAGTGAGTTCTGCCAGAACCAAAGCAGACACAGTCGAAGTTGTACGATAGGCTCTTGTTATTGTTAGTGCAAAATGCCTCTGCGCGCTGTAGAGGAGCCGCTCCTTCCTGGTGGTCATTGGAACGACCCAGATTGCCGCCTCATATGTTAATATTTTTTCCACAACTGTTTGGTATAATATCTTTAAAATGGGAGGGCGTAAGCCCCAGTTTGCATCCCGCATTTAGCTATGTGATGGAACTTTTTGTCGCTGCTGTTTGAGGTGTGGAACACAGGAAAAGTCTTCATCCAAAACCATTCCGAGAAGTTTCAACTCTTTCACCCTCTTGATCGTTCTGCCTACCATTGCAATGCACAGGTTTCTAACTAAAGTTTGCCCCGGCTTATGGTACACAATGTATTTCGACTTTGCTTCTGAGATTTTTAGTTTTTTCTCTGCACAGAGGTTGGCGAAAAGGGAGATTGTCTCGTTGCAATTGTTTTGAAAGATGTTCCTAGACTTAACCACAAACTACGAAAGTGGCATCGTCGAAGGCTATGACCTCAGTGTGTAGAGGCAGGCAGCCCCCAATTGCTACATGCGACATGCGACGGAGGACGTGGGCACCACCCCTCTACCAATACGGTTAATCGGTATAGCGCCACGTCCACCTTTATCTAGATAACCATACGTGTTCATTGTGCTAATATACTAATATATAAACATACATACAAATTTGGTACTTAATACAGTGGCGTTAAAGCTAATTAATGTTAGACACTGGATAATACATTGCCATGTTACAACCTGTATACAAAAGCATGGATACGATAGCATATATACAATAACGTGTGTACTCATATGTTGAGTACACTATGACCCTTTGAAGCATTATCATTAGATTACAGAAGACATGTACATACTGAAATATTAGGTGCGCAATGTTATGCTGGAATAAGTAATTAGTACAGTGAATTAAAAGTTAGACCCTAGATTAGTACTGTGTAGTACAGTGTCTTTGGTGCAATTAATTTTAGAGTGGGGCTCTAGTTAGTTCTTTGCGATACGGTGCCGTGTTACAGGATAAAATGTGCAGATGCATAGTTACATTATCATATATACAGAACATAAATTCATATACATATATACAGACACATTAGGTACATGATTATTCAGTGCGTAATAGATGTATATTAACTATACAGTGCCAAGATATGTGATAACACTAGTAGATACATGGGTACAATTACATATAAACAAGGACATACACAATTACATATAGACAAAAGCGTATATACGCTTATATTTTGGTACACAATAGTCATTGGTGACATAAACATTTCGTACTTACTTCATATACTGAAACTCTAGATCCATAAAATAATGTTATAACTAGTAATAGGTGCTTATTTAATTTCATAATAGGACACTACGTTGATATTTTGCCTTACTGTGTCACGTTACGTAGAAATGTATGCGGGTGCATGGGTACAGCTTCCTATTTACAATGCTATACTGTTTTCCTATTTACAATGCTATACCTATTTACAATGCTTATATCATTCGATTTCATAATCAATAGGTACATGGCACATTTATATACATGAGCAGATGGTACATTGTAGAGTGCCGTTGAGGATAATTGATGCAATAAATTTTATAGTATTTTAAAAATAATGCATTTATACGCAATTATAGGGTGCATAATTGTCATTGGGTACATATACAATAGGCGCATAATACATATACATATTCATATATTAGTTTCTTAATACAATGCTAGGGCAAGTAATTGGTGCTGTTATTTTTACATGTTACATGATGCTGTAGGCGATTGGA